ATTAATTTATGACATTTTTCAAAAATATTTATTGAATGTATATTGAATTTTTCAAAAACCAAATAAATTATATGGCAGACTATGGCAACGTCATACATAAATTCGTTTTCAATCGTATCGTTTTTTGGGTTTTTTTGGGTCAGCGATTTTTTCTTTGTTCATTTTAAGTGTTCTTAATCGTTCGGCCAAAAAGGTATAACGTTCTCAATCGTTCGATAGTCAAAAATTCGTATAATGGTTATTTTCTACAACATGGTTAGTAAAATTTGAATTAGGAGCAATTAACAAACCTAATTAATTAATTTGATTAATTTTTGAGTAAAACTGCAAAAAAAATGTTATGCTATAATATCCACATAGTTTTAATCACTAACATTCGTAGTCTGTTTTAATATAAATATATATTTATAATAAATAATAAATAATAAATAATATATATATATATATATATATATATATATATTATATATTATTATATTATTATATATATAAATATATGTCTATAATATAAATTTTATTTTATTTATTTTTATTAATTTAAAATATATTAGTTGAAAATATCACTAATATTTTTCTAAACGTCATTCAAAACGATGAGAGTCAAAATCTTCGAAACAGTGCCGTGTGGTATATCAGTGGCTTCTGCTTCTCGAAATGTAAACAAAAAATACCATAAAATTGTTTATTCACGCTGCATAGCCAAAATATATTTGTAATATTATATGTGCATACATCATTAATAAAATACAACTAATGTATTCAAGATATTATATTTCCAATAAAGTAAATATGAAATATTTCGGACGGCTTAGAACTCAATTTTGATTTTTCATTACCGGACATACAATTATACATGGTTACTAAAAAATCAATATTTTAACCTTTGTTTTTTATGAAGATTTATTTGAATAGATACCTTCTCTTTAAAACCAGATTTAGTTCCCTTCAATTTTTCAAGTAAATTGATTAGTGAAACTAATTTTTTCTTCGCTATTTTTTATAAAAATGGTTTATAATCCTGATTCATACAAAATCGACCTCAATTCTTAGATATAAATAATAATGCTTTGATTTCGATGGTTCTGATCATTTTCGATTGTATTATAAGATTTTTCTTACATATTGATGTAATAAACAGTTTTATATTACGTTTTCAAGATCACTGTCGGTTTGTTGTATAATTTGTGTAGGTATGGATGTCTAATGATTTGGTTTTTTATTGTATCCCTTTAACAATAGTACATTTTACATTATAACTGCATCATGCAAAGATAGTTGATACTATTTTAGCATTAAAAAGATTATATAGAAAAAAATATAAAGCCTTAAAAGTTATTCAAAAAAGCCTTACGAATTTTCCATAATAATAAAAATCGTTTACATCGTTTATAAACATAGTTAATGTAATAGTATTACAGTAGTAATACGAGTATATTTAAAAATAGTACACATATTTCATTGAAATTTAAAAAAGTATCGAAACTATCAAAATTCGTGACATCAAACTTACGAAAATATGCAAAAATAGTTCATGAAATATGTATTTAATGGTCTTGCAGTGGAGATAATTTTCGAACTATAATAATCGTTATTCATGATACTGTAACGATAATTATTACCTAGAATTTATTTGGTTAACGATTTTAATATATTTCTAATGTCCACAGCAGAGATTCACATCTCTCGTACAATTAATAAATCATTAAAAATGTTTAGAGTTGTTAAAACTTATATAATATGCGAAGTTTAATTGCAGTGTTATAGTTCGCAGATGGCCCATGATTGCATTTATAACCATAAACCCGATTACCTGATGTTAACGATTGTACTGACAAATCGGTGTCTTACACTGATTCGCTGGAATAATGGGACTTGATCCTAGGCGATTATAATAAACTTCGATTTGGCTTTGTGTGTAAGTATTGATTATTAATTTAATCAACGTGTACCGAGCGTTTTTAATCAATAAAGACTTTGATGCCGTTATACAATATCAAATACAATAATTTTAAGAACCAAGCGAAAAGATAATAATAATAATATCTACCTAGAAAAAAGGAACTCCACCCGAGTACTGAAAACGATGATCCTAAAACGATGGATTCAGAAGGTATCTGATCGTTCAGTTTTGATCTGAGTAATATCGTATCTTTTCTTTGAGACCCTCCATCAGTCATAGATTCTATAGTGATCGAATGAATACAACGTCAATTTTTTTCATTATGTGCTTAATTACAAAACATTACATGTCCTCCATACGATTATGGTTCAATGAAAAAAAATATAAATTCAACCAACCTCACTGTTTGCAGCTATGATGATATTTAATTTCTATAAAAAATCTGTGTCAAATTCAATCCTTCACTTCTTTTATAAATATACTCTTAAGACTCCCCTTATCCCAAACTTTCAGGTACTTATATTACCGGTAAATGGATTGACTGGAAAATATCTTCATTGGTAAACTAATACGTTCTCACTACACCTCCAAAATTTAATCAAAATTAGTTCATTACAGCAAGTTTACTGAAAAATATTTTGAAGATATTCGTGAATTCGATGAAAAAGTTCCATTAAATATATGGTACATTCAGCGACAGCCATTTCTTGGAAATCATTCATTAAAAATAATGTATATTAAATTAATGTCACTGAAAGTGCTTCAAACGTTAAACTGTCGAATGTTATAAAAACCAGAATACTATATATAAATATTTTCTTGCTCAAACGGTTATTATTACATTTCTTAAAATATAAATTAAAATTCACGTTCACTCTGACTTAAGTAAAACATCTCTTATATTTTGCATTGGTAGTTTAATAATTCCCGAGTCGTTTATTCTATTTTATATTTGAGGACTTAGGTATGTAACGAAATTAAAAATTCAACCGTCTCAATTTTCAATATCAAGTTTTATATTTCTCGGAAAAATATTTTTTCCATCAATAATAATTTCAGTGATTTAATAATACACGTTTCGATGGTAGTTTATTACAACGTTTGTATTTATATACCTTAGTAAAATAATCTTTTAAGTGACAATATAACTATACGTCAGAATGATGAAGAAATCCTATTTTTTTTTAATTTGAATTCCTATAATTTCTAAGCGCCACAGTGGATCTCTTAATATTTTGCTAATGTACGATTCAAAGTCATCATAAAAAACCTCATATTACTTGATTCTTCTGATTATGTACATATATATATAATGCGTTGCTGTTTATCTCAAGGTTCAGGAGTTTGTTCATTGTTTTATACCCGTCACCTGTCTATTTGTTGTCCATAAATAATTTTTCGGTTGATTGGAAATATAACGGCTCATTTCTATTTTATTTTAATCTAATAACATTTACGATACTACCTATAATTTATTTATTTTTAAGAACGGTAGTTCGGAAACTTTTTTAATAGATCTCGCAAACGGGTAATGTCGAGTATGTAGGTACACGAATAAATTCGGATATAAAGAATAAAGGCGTTAACTAGTATTGAACAAAGCATTACGCTGTTTATTGATACGTTTATAATTAGTAGTTGTTCGCTCAATCATCAATAATATTTATCATCGTACTGCATATACACGATAATAGTGTGATTGAATTTTTGTATGAATATATGAACACCACGCTATATTATACATAAATGATGATATAAGTTATTCGAACCAAAATCATTTGCACAATCAGCAAAATTAAATTGTAAAATAATTACGTAGGTACCTAGTATGTTAATTTCTAAAATGCAAATAAGTTCAAAAAGGCATTGTTGAAATTTTCGACGGTAAACACTTTAACTGTTCAAATTAATAGATAATTGTACACGATAACTATTGATGAGTGAAGATATACGTTTGATAAAATCACTTTGCAACAAAAAAATTCGCTCAGTCTTAAAAGAAAAAACTTATTTCCATTATTTTCTGATTTATTATTTTTATTTTTTTGTACACAATATACGTAGTTTTTTGTTTTTTTATTGAGCCCCTCAATCTTAATTTTCAAATCAAATGTTTCTACAGTAATATATTATCATATACAACGCAATTCAAATTTTCAATTCGTATTCATTCGTTAAACAATATATTTTATTTTATATATACATTTATATTCATTTATATGTATATACATGTATACATATACTAATATCGGCATTCTATTCTTAAGCTCTAGTAAAAAAAAGTGATTCTCTTTTAAAAAAAATCAAATATATTTGTCATTATTGTATAAATAAAAATAAATCTAAATTATCGCACGATGAAGGGAGTATTCGAGAAAATGGAACAAGATGTGAGTGAGTGAGCTCCATTAGTGATGTTAACGATTGGCAACGTTTTAGCGGAGGTATACATAGTGGGTTAACCTGTGTTGCGATAAGACTGCGTGACATGCGCTTATAACACAAATCGTATTCTAATGTGATGGAAAAAATATGCTAAGTATCTATAGACATGTGCTGAAAACGGGATGAAATGGCATTTATATCTGATAAGTTTTAAAAATAAGTGCTTTCATTCCAAATCGCTATTCAGATATACTTGAAATAATTTTTATACGACTTAGGATTTAATATTTAACACGACTCGTGAAACCATGACGAATTCGGCACACTCCCACATCTTGAGTGAGCCTAATATTTATCAAATGACAGTTTTTTTTCGCTTTTTCAATCAATTCGCAAAGGTTTCATGCACACAGTATGGATGAACATTCAAATATCGGAAAATTTATTCCGTTAAATGTATGTCGTCGACTATGCATTATACTGCATTACTAAAAACTAATTATACATATGTCCGTATGATCGATCAACACATTTTGGAAATTTTATCAATGTGTGTTGGACCTTGTAGATCAGGCACAACAGTTTTAATTACTTTAACAGATAATATCGTGATACACAAATGGGTTTACTCTGCGTAGTTGTATGTGTGTGTGTGTGTGTTTGAATACGAGTTCATATCTAGCATATAAATATAAGTATATTTTAAAGCACTCACTCAAGTGATTCGTTGGCGTAGCTCGTCTATCATAGTTTTTCTTCAACAGACTGTCCAATATTTGAAGATGGTTCATTTTCGCTCCACACCTGATAACAAACAATCGGATCGTAAGCGTATAATAAACATAATAATAATAATAATGATAATTATTATTATTATTATAATGATAAAAGAGTGAAAAAGGTATAAGATAGAGAGATAAGTGAATTATATTGTTGTATTGGCCTTTGTAACTTAAGACCAATATACCATTGCTCTTAAAAAAACAATTCTGGGTGAGAAAGTCAGATGAATTAGTTTACATTTCTAAAAATAATTAATATAGTAAATCATATGTTTTAATAAGGTGACTAGAACATTTAATTTTTTAACTTATACAATAAAGTAACTCATTTTAAATTTGGTAAAATCAAAAATTTCAACTTCTTATAACAATACAAATTGTATTCAAATATTTTAAAGCTGTGAAATGTATTTAAAATGCTACTATAAGTGGACGGTTGATGTATTGAGTAGTTACCACGATAAATATTTATTGAATATCAATTAAATAACTTATATTATTCAATTGAAATTTGTTAAAACATCCTATTTTTACAAAATAAAATGTTGTAATGCTTATAAAATGTTCGTTAACCTGTAACATTTTTTCAACTATAAAAAAATAATTAGACCTTGTACCCAATTTTCAAGCTTTATTATAAAAATTAAAATTTTTAAATTAATTTTAATTACAACAATATAAAATTTTTTTTAATTTTTATAATTTTTCAAAATTTTATATTCAAATTTTCGTTTATATTTTTTTAAATAGGTTCAATTTTTTTTGTTTATCAATCAAAAATATATATGAGGAACTTTATATTACATTTTCAAGACATTTTATCAAATTATAATTATTTTATAGTTAGTTCGAAATTTTTTTCAAAAAAAATAATGTTATTAAATTATAAATAGAAAATATCAAGTCTTAAAAATTATTATCTTTTGAGTAATAATGAAACTAAAAATTGTATCAACGACCTGGATATCACACAATTAACCAGTTTTTTATAACTTTTCGTTACTTCTTTACCATTATTAAAATTATAATATAACATGTAAAATTCATAAAATTACCTCCTTCAAAGTATCAACTGGAAACATTATTTATTAGAAACCTTTAATACTTGAAATGATCAATGTAATTTTTTTGATCTAAATCAGATATGCAAATACAAAAAAAAAAGAATTAAGTAAGGCTATTAATTATGGTTGAAGTATTTTTTAATTTTTTCTTGATTTTCTTAATTTTCGAAAAAGTTTTAAACAATTAAAAACCTTAAATAAATATATAAACATTATAAAAATGAATACCTAAATAAATGGAAAAATATTTTAAAAAAATACTGTTTTGTATGCTCGGTTATTAATATACTGGTGTTTTTGTACCAAAGGTCGTACATACGAATTTACGACGAAATTAAAAGATGCATTTGAGTGTAAAGTTTGAATGTATATTATGTATGCGGCGCCGACGGGTATGTGCACGGTGGCGTAGTATTTTGGTACGCACACGGCGTTCCATGTATGCAATTTAATGGCATGCGCGCGCATTTACAGACACGCTCTGTGTACAATACAAATAATAAAATAATAATATCTTGTAAAGAAAATGTTCTTTGGCCGAAACATCTCGCGTATTTTTACGAACGTAAAATGATCTTATCATATTTGACATGGGACCGCAGAATTTAATTTGTACAACATCGTTAAATATTTCGATGAATCGTAAACTACGTCCTTATAATACGATATTATGTACTTCCTCCAATATTTTATCATTATCATGCACACTGTGTAATAAACACACGGACTTGCTGCATGATTACAACAGCCACTATAGTAGTGGCTTCAAGAGAAGCTTCAGACTCAAAGTCTTCTACAAAAATTAAAAATCACCGTTCGGTGATGAAAAATTTTAATTCATATTTAATATTAACTCTTGAAAAATTGTTATACGAGTGTGTACGTATGAAATGAAAAATATAGGACTTATACCAAAACGTATGCATGTTGATTAATTCAATGTGTACAAACTTAATACACAAATAGAAAATAAACATACAATTTTTAAGAAATAATGCTAATTGTCCTACAGTGATTCCGTCGCGATCCGAAAATAAGAACTGATATGCGAATTAAAATTAAATGAACTTTAGAAAACACGTTATTTGATGTATAACTTTGTAATATATGCAGTATATACGATGTAAAACGTTGAATGTTTTAACGTCAACCACAGATGACTCCTTTATTATTATCAGGTAATTTCTCTTTTATAATGCAACATTATCTATTTATAATATATTTTCAATTAAGTCATACAACTTGTCTGTAAAATTATATTCTTCGGCTGACTTATAACTGACCAAAGAGATTTAATTAAAAATTTGTATATTTTGATATTAAACGTGTTGAGACACCCTTAAAAACATTATAAACATTTTAAACGTAGATTAAGATAGTTTTTAATGAGCACAAATGTATAATGTGTAGTTGTATAATACAAGAAAATTATATATTTTATTTTTACGTAAAGTTTTAACCAACGTTTTCGACATGCATTCCCTCTCCCATAATTTATAAGTTTATAAAGCTACCCTCGAGTGACGTGATGTAAATACTTTTATATAAATTGAAAGAATATGATTTTTAACGTACAATCGAATCATTTATAAAATCGTTGCTTACAGCACAATGGTATGTACACACGTGCGTACCTTACGATAATGTAAATATATATACGAATACGATCCCGGGCACTTAATATTATCAAAACCTGTCAAAATGCTCATACCTGTTATTATTAGGTACATTCTATACATCATATAGTATAATTATTCGGCTGTTATTAATAATACTTAATGTTATCGTAGTGCACCGAAATTTGCTCAAATCGATCTGGTTCTTTTCATTTCGTTTAAAGTTAAATTAAAAATGCAACGATTACGACATTGGTTTGTGTTCTTCCACTTTCCGTTATTTATTTATAACTTTTATTTATTTTAATTTATAATAATTGATTTTACTACGGTACAATTGCCGTTTAATAACCGTCAATTCCATAAGTTTTTCAAATACAATTATTTTTATTTGATCTGTATTAGTATCGATTCTTCAAATTTGGTTTCCACAGTTAAGTGTTTGTTTAAGAACTTCGTTGATAATTTTATTTGTGTTAATCAAAAATATGTCAACCGCGTAAATAATTGGATTAAAAAAAAAAAAAAAATTCCTCAGATAAAATCTAGTATACTTTTTATTTTATCATCTAACAACACACTTTTTTCATCTAGAGAATTTATTGAGTACCCATTTGATCGTTTATTTATTATAAAACCTAAACTAATGATTTCTTTAATATATTTCCCAGATTACTTTGAATATTACTTCCGTTATATGTATATAATGTTATTATTTCTAATTTTTTTTTACACAAATAATGTATATTATTTATATTTCGGTGAGATTTTTTAACCGAAAAATTTTCTTTTACTAATCCTTGTTTAATTACAACTAAGAAAAGTATAAAACTAGATTTTTGTAAAAATACCTGTTATTTATATTTTTATGTGTTATTTTTCTTAAGGTATAATCATTGTACAATGTACATATATACTAGAGATCTGTATTTCATGTGTAGTTAAATTCTCGGATACACGTGAAATTAAAATACAACGTAAGTATAATAATAGCAGTTATAACGTGAAATAAATCCACGTGAATTTTTTTAATTTAATTAGACTAGAATCTGTGAATTTTAACTTCACGCAAGTTCATGTATTTTGCTATTAAATCACGTGTTTATTATTACAATGAAATTTTATTATTATCTCTTCATATATGTCCACGTCATTGCCGTTTGCGTGGTATATATATTAATCCACCCGTCCCGTCATTTCACAATAATACTGTTTATGAAACATTTATTTTTAGAATAGTAGGTATAAATATTTTTAGTTCTTAGTTTATGGATTTTGTTTTGAGCACACGTGAAGTAAATATCCATGATTTACTAATTAATTACACTTAAATGAAATTTATGGATTTTTACTTTAAATATATATATTGACACAATATGATATAAAATAAAACAATAGAAATATACATATAATATATATTACATAGAAACGTCTTTTAAAAACTATTAATAATGCATAAATAACGCATATCTAACCAGGACTGTGTTAAGAATGGGGTCAAAGGGGGAAATTGCCTTCGGACGCTGTAGTTTTGTATAAGTAAGGGGTTGCTGAAATGTTTGATACGGCTCTGTATCTAACACAAAAATTAACACAAGAAATAAATAAAAAAAAAAAAGGCGAAGAAACATTTTTATTTTTATTATAACGTACATATTGAATATTAACATTTACATACTTCTTCTTGCTTTGGTTGCACGTCATATAAATACGTTATTACGCTTATAAATAAATGAATAAAGTTTATTTCAGTCTGATAATAACTTAGTGAATAAAGAAGATTCTTTTGATACAAGTCGAAAAAAAAACTGCCTTTACCTGAATCTTAGGAGAAAGACTTATAAAATATAGCCTTGAACTCTGTTCTTGACATAGGTTCTTGGTTGAATTAATGACTTGAGACCATGTGTCGAGCTTTAAGAGCCTTTAGAAAAATTCAAGATGGTGGTCATGTGGTCTGGATATCTTAGATTGAACTGATTTATAATCATACGATTCGATTTTGTTGGGCCCATAAGTTATTATACCTGATAAATCACACAGAAAAGAAAAATCTAATATAAATCCATTATGGATTCAACGCACTATAAAGTAATGAGATATTTGGTCTACGCACATACGCACACATCTTAAGTATTATATTATATTTAATAGTATTTGTTATTACATTTTTTTAAATAAAAATCATATGAATAAAGTCATATAATTAGTTATATAATAATAATTAATGGATATCTTTATACAAAAAATACTGCTTTAAAATTGAAGATGAAACATGAATGTGATATTTTTTTATTGTTGAATGCATTGCCCGTTGGAAATGATGATTCTTTTAAAACTAT